TGAAACTTTTTCAAAATTTTGAAAATCCGAGATAGCAGTATGATAGCCACTTATATTCTCAGTCCAATCATGCAAAGAAATCGGGTCTAGCTTAAAAACTGAGCTTTTGAGAGCGATTACCGTAGTTCAATGCTTTGCATCAAAATCAGCCGACATGACGTCACTCTGACGTCATTTCCAGCCGAGCTATGGTAGTTAAATGAAAGTTAAAAATGATAGTTGAAATTTGAACACAAGGTGTCAAATTGATGCCGCTGAAGGTACTGCAAGTTTCGTACTGATGCGTTAAGCAGTTTAGAAGATATTGCAGAAAACGTCGTCAAACTTACAATATATACGAATCAATTTGTCCGCTTCAAATAATCAACAGTCAACCATAGATCAGACACTATCGACTGACCGCCGGCCACTGCCGACCGACTATCGGACACCACCAACCGTCTGTTCGGCACTGCCCACCGTCTCTCGCACACTTCCAATCACTGCGCTCCCCCGGCCGGACCGCACCGCTCTATAACCACCCACTGGCCCGTGTCGCCAGGTCCGCCATGATGCGGTGGGTGCTGCTGGCCTCCCTGGCCGCCCTGGCCAGCTCGGTCTCCCCGCCAGACATTCCCACCGACATTGCCAAGTACGCCATCTTCCTGGCCAACAGCAGCGCACAGGAGACGACCACCTTCACGCTGCAGCACACGGTCATCAAGATCACCAAACACTCGGCCGCAGAGTCGTCGGCACTCGCCAAGAGCCGCGCGCCCAGGATTATCGTCACCGACGCGGCCGCCAAGGGTCTCGTCTGCGTGGGCGCCGGCCGCGTGCAGCTCACCCCTGCTGGTAAGGTTGTTGAGGCCGGTGAGGTGTCCACTGGTGCCGCAGCGAGCAGCGCTTCCGCGGCCGCGGGAGGCGACGAGTCACACAAGGCCGAGGAGCTGATTGTTGGTCAGGGTGACGGCGTCGTGGCGTCCGTGAGCTCCGCCGCCTCCGCGTCGGCGTCCGGTGGCGCTGCCTCGGCGTCCGCAGCTAGCGGAGGTGCCGCAGCCTCGTCCGCCGCGGGCGGAGGCGGTGCTGCCTCCTCGGCCGCAGCCGGTGAGGGAAGCGCCGCTTCTTCAGCTGCTGGTGAGGGAAGCGCTGCCTCATCTGCCGCCGGTGAGGGAAGCGCCGCCTCTTCTGCTGCTGGCGAGGGAAGCGCTGCTTCTTCTGCTGCTGGTGAGGGAAGCGCTGCTTCCTCCGCGGCCAGCGAAGGCGGTGCTGCCTCTTCTGCCTCGGGCGAGGGAAGCCAGGCGACCGCGACCGGTGACAGCACTAGCACCAGCGCCGTCGGTACGGAGGGCGGCATCAGTGTGGACGTCAGCGGCCAGGGCGAGGCGGCCGCCTACGGGGGCGGCGAGGGCGTCCACCTCAGCGGCAGCGGCAAGATCACGCACATCGACGAGCGGTTCTGCACGTGCGTGCCAGACTACCTGTGTGACGACGAGGGCTACATCAATACGGCTGGCGCCGGCCTCATCGACATCCGCTCCTTCAGCAAGACGAAGAAGACGAGGGCGTACGCCTCCAAGTGCAAGGAGACAGAGACGTGCTGCAAGCACCGCGAGAACGAACAGATCGGCTGGTTCCCGAGCGGCTGCGGCGACCGCTCCCCCATCCCGCTCGACAGGCGCGTCGTCGGCGGAGAGGTAAGACAACGCTGACCGGTGTGAACGCTTGAGGGCAAAGTTCCGTTGGGTCCGAAATTTGAGGTTTACATTGCATCTGCCATACATTCAGAATATCCTGCGTTGCAAAACAGACGGTTAAAAGAAATTAGGACAACGGGATAAGACGTCTGATGCTTTCTTGTGTCCTTTTCTTCGATTGTTACGTCACACTTTGTTGATATGAGTAAATGAGCATCTGTGCGTGTGTCTAAGCTTGGCAAGATTCGTTTTTTTAATGAAATGATGACCTGTTAGGCAATCTGTTACCAAACGCATACGGAGTCCGAGTTCATGGTCGAATCACACAGCACACATTATCACATTGTACCAGCTTTGCAAGCAGGCCCAAACGTTCCCCTTCTCGACGCCCGCAGGCTTCTGGTCTGGGCAGGTTCCCGTGGATGGTGGCCATTATCCGCTCGATCGCCAACGGACCCGACGAATACGTGTGCGGCGGCTCCCTCATCAGGGAGGACGTCGTCCTCACTGGCGCCCACTGCGTCAACAAGTGAGTAAGCACCTTCGTGAACGATGGCCGTACAACATGTGCTGAGAATGGTGCCAACGTGGTGATGTTGAAGTTGAAGAATCGGTTGATTTTGAGTTCGTTTCCAAAGAATTTCGTGGTGTTGTTGACCAAAGCAAGGTTCTTGGCCTGGGCCAATGCTTTCTGACATCTGTAACTAACAACTGCATCAGCAGTTGAGCCATACGAAACGTCCACAATGTCACACCCCTATAAATATCGCCCCACCCTCAGCCCGTTCTGACAACGCCCCACCCGCCCCGGCATCTCCAGGCTGAAGGGTGAGCGTCTGATCGTGCGCGCCGGAGAGTGGGACACGTGCAACGATGACGAGCTGTACCCTCACATCGACATCGAGGTGGCTAGCGTGATCCAGCACGAGGGCTTCAACGCAGCCACGCTGTACAACGACGTGGCGCTGCTGCAGCTGGTCCACGGCGTCGAGGTGCAGCAGCACATCAACACCATCTGCCTGCCGGACCCCCAGTTCAGCGTGGACATCCACCTGGACGAGTGTGTGGCCACCGGATGGGGCAAGGAGTCCTTCGGTGAGTCGACCGCCTCGGGGACTTCGGGATATCCGTGTCAGGATGTTAAACTGCGGGACTATGGGTCAGCGCGTCTAGCCCCGGGATATCCAGATCAGGGTGCCAGCTCAGCACATCCGGTTCCCGGTGTCAACTCCAGGACTTTCGGATGAGGGTGTCTTACTTCTGTGCGCTGAAGTGGCAGCGTTAGACAGTAAAATATTTTCCCAGAGGACGTTTTCTTCAAGTTAAAAAGACACTTAAGATCGATTGCAACTATTTTGTAGAAAATCAAAAGCAGTCAGCGAGACGGTTTTCCAAACGGAGGGTCTTGTCAGACGCTGAGGCACTCAAAACACTCTCGAGGACAGCCTCTAAAGTATACATCGATGTGCAAACCTTATCGCCTCTCAGTTCAATGTATACTTTGAGACATCTACAGTCCGTCGGTCTGGCTAGCAACAAGCCCAGCCTGCACAGTGCACATGCCAGGCGGCGGGGGGATGGGGAGGGGCGACCCTGGGGTGAGTGGTGTGAATCATGTCTCAAAGGCCCCCGACTAGGGCAGCCATTCACTGAACTCTTTCAAACTTCAGCTTACAAAGTTATCGAGTTACAAGAGCAGCGCACTAGACATATCGAGACGCATGTTTGGTCGCACATTGTTTTGGTCTATTGTCCAGCAGTTCATGTGTGCTTCAACTTCAGCCTCTTAGACGACAGTATGAGTAAACTATTGCGGCGATAGAAAGAAACTATTAGATAGAAAACTATTAGATAGACGGCGATAAAACTATTAGATAGACGGCGATAGAAACTATTGCGGCGATAGAAATACCAGATCGCACGAAGTCTTAAGGAGACTTTACATTCTGCATCAGGTCACCTTGCACTCTCAATGTCTACCGCAAGCAGCTCCTAGGACCTAGTTAGAGCATCAACGTTCCCTCATTTTCGACTCTGAACGTGCCGTTCTTTTTGTCCACCCGCAGAGAACAGCCAGTACACCAACATCCTGAAGGAGGTGCCGCTGCGCGTGGTGGGTCACGACGCCTGCCAGGAGGCTCTGCGCACCACGCGCCTCGGAAAGTGGTTCAAGCTCCACGATACGTTCACATGCGCCGGCGGAGAGCCTCACGTAGACACGTGCAAGGGCGACGGCGGCTCCCCACTCGTCTGCCGGATCCCCTCAGAATTCCCCGGGGAGGACAAGTTCGTCCAGGTCGGCATTGTTGCCTGGTGAGTATCAAGGAATCACTGAAGCGCTAAGCCGACATTGAGAGGAAAGAGGAACAGGATGATGATCCATTCAGGCTAACGGCTTTTCTCCCCATGCTCAATCAAATCAAAGGCCTATGAGACCGTTGTGTAATGATGATGCCTCAGCAATCACAGATGTGAGGATGGACGAAACATATGCCAACCTTGTCATCTGTTTTCAATGTCGAAATTTCGCCACCCAAGGTTTTCCACTAATGGGTTCTGCGGCACCCTCAGACAGCTGCCATCCCTGTGTTGCCGTTGCGTAGCGGCCGTGCTCTGACCCTTGTCTCCCGCTCTGCAGGGGTATCGGCTGCGGCAAGGACGGCATCCCGGGAGTGTACGCCGACGTCCAAAAGCTGCTGCCCTGGATCCACGAGCACATGCCGCACTCGGACGAGTACCCGTGATCGGCCGCCGGTCGCCCCACGCGCCCAGTTGCCCACCGTCGGCCTGTGTTTACCGATCGCTCCGTGCCTGGCCGGTCGGACGGGGGCCCGAGCCGGGGACGGCAGACGGTCACCGCCGCGGTCCGAGAATAAACACTGGGCAGCCGACCGACCGATTTCGGCCCAAATGTGACCCGGTGTTCGTATACAGCTTGCGACACGGCGGCGAGGAGCGGGCGATGGCCGCTGGACGGCTCCGACAAAAAACGGCAACTGGAGCGAGTGGGATTTCCAGCCGGCCGCAGCGAGTCGTTTTGTTTTTCTTCCAGAGATGTGTGGAATGTGCTCAGAAATACACGCAGAACTGTCATCTAACTTTAAAAGCTCACAAACAGGATCGAACCGCCTATAGTTTGTGGGCGTCAGACATTCGTTATGACTTCCAGGTCTCAATTGACCAATTGAAAAGTGGCTGATGTGGATCACCTGAATACAAGTACGAATCATTGACGTCGACAAAAAGAGACAGACAACCCAAGTCTCCAGCAAACTGATGCACCCCAAAAACTTATCCACCGCCAAGAAGTTAAAATGCGACCACTTCTCGGCCACTTCTCGGTGTATTCATTTGCACAGCACAATGATGCTAACAATGACATTACATTACACACATAATTCACTCAAGGACCTGTCGGCCAGAGCACACATGGAAACTGTCGCGCATCGTTTCGATCTTGTACTCATATAAGTTAAGAGAACAAAATATACACACTGGTTGACCTTACATTCGACGCTTAACGACATCTCGGTTGAAAAGAGTGCACGAAATCAGCAATGGACTTGCATAACATCAATGCATTGCAGCAAGTAAAAGCAAATTTCATTTTCATTCGTACAGCTACTTTCGGTGCCACCAGGCAATTCAAAGAACTTTTCGAAGCATGACATACCATTCTCCCTCCCACACCAGCCCTGCCAACAACACATCAAAACACTGTCTTGTTTGTAGCGACAACAAATCGCCATCCACCCTACTGTAAGGCGTAAGCCACCTTTCAAGTAGTAAGAGCAAAAGGGTGTGGAGATCGGCTTAATAATTCATGGTCAGGTCAGGATTTATATCATCCTCCGCTGATGATGATGATCAGACGAGGCCACAAGAAACGGTGTTCAGGCACATTCACTATCAGTCAGAGTCCGTCGACTTATCGTGCTCCATCCGACACAGCACCCTTGCATACACAGAGCGCGCACGGTGCCACCCACCAACACAGACCTCGACTCGGAGCCGCATCACGGCCCCGACCCGCAGTGCCACGAATCCACTCAGGCTAGCAGGCTGCTCAAACTCTGGCAACCTGTGCCACGAACTTCAAGCTGAACCAGGTCTGCACCCCTATCCACTTCAGACCTGCACCACAAACCACGGGTCGCCTCAGACTAGTGACGCTCCAGGCCAGCTCAGACCCACGTCATGGGCTACCTCAGACCTGAGCTGAGCACCACAGACCATGCGCCCCATAGCACCGCCTCAGACCAGCTCACACTTGCGCCACGGGCCGGGCGCCCTTGGCGGCCAGCTGGTCGTTGGTACCGGAGAAGCCAGTGCCGCCCATCTGTAGGGGAATGATGTCGGACTCTGCCAGCGGCACGCCCGTCACCGGGTGGCGCATGTCCTTCCTGATCAGTTTCTCCACGCACTCCATCGTGACCACGTCGCCGCTGTGGGGGGAGATGGGGTAACGGGGTAATAACGGGGTAATAACAAAGATCACTTTACCATCACCACGCCTCCACTGTGGGAGAATGAAGTGGCAACGGGGTAATAACGGAGAACAACCAATCGTCACCACGTCTCCGCTGTGGGGGGAGAGGAGGGAATAAAGGGGTAATAACGGAGAACACTTTACCATCATTAGTAACCACGCCTCCGCTGTGGCAGAACGGAGGGGATAACGGGGTAATAAAGGGGCACTGCTGCGAGGAGCTGCAGCGGTCTATACACTTATCTTTATCTACCTAATACACCTCCGGGAGACGCACATTGATTCGTCATCAGAAGAAAAAACCCTCATTGAAAAAAAAAAAACTTCACAGCATCTTATAACCGAACTCTTGCAGACCTACTCAAAATTCCCTATCACGATTCTGCAAGAATGTAAATATTTACCAGACTAGTTCCAAACAGACCCCCTCCAAAGAGCCCCAGAACATATTCACAAATGCAATTGAACTATAAACAGACTGAATTCGAATTAACGTACTAGAGTATAAGCCCCCCCCCCTAAAATAACAAAAAAAAAAACACGAGGATAATCGCCGAGTAACAAAAAAAAAATATATCGCACCCCACAGCCACTCACACCCTGGTCCCCGGCAACTCACGTGGGTTTGAGGACGGCCGCCGGCACGGTGTTGCCCAGGATGTCGTGTGTCACGCGGCACATGAACCGGTTGCGTTTGGAGATGAGCGCCGCCTTGTCGTCCGGGTCGGAGACCGGTGTGAACACGACGGGAATCAGGTCCTTGACCCTCAGCGGCTTACCGCTCATCGGACAGAAGATGGTCTTGTCGGGCTTCTTGATGGTGGATTTCTTGGCGGCCGGCGTGAGGCTAGGGATCCAGAAGGAGGGCAGCTTGCGCGCCTTGTCCGTGGTCATGTTGGACACGGAGCCGGCCTCGCTGGGACCTGCGGGGGTGGCGCCCGTGGTAAAGGGGCTGCTGAGTGCTGACTATAATGACTAATGACTAAGCCTATCTATGGACAAGGAGCCGCCTCGCTGGGACCTAAAGGGTGACCGGCCTACTGCCCATACTATGCCTATGAGCAATATAAGAACATGGACTCTACTAGAGTAACAGAAGTTAAATATGAGCTGTGCTATTCAGGCAAATAGGTAATGATCGCCTTTCAATAATGTCAAAGGCGTGGTAAACGTGCAGCCCTCAGCAGACTGCGTGGAAGGTATTCTTTTTCGACAAAACCGGTAATAACTCAAGGACTATGTTATCAGTATGTCGGAACTCACTGCAAATGGAGGCGCCATGCTCCACTCCTTCGATTAGGTCTATTGCCAAACAAAGTATGTATATGCCTTGTGTGGCAACAAAATGCAAAAGCTTGTTTTGGGGGTAAATATAAACTTTTGGGTATTGTTGCTAAACTGGATGGAAAATGAATGCGATGGTAATGCCAATCCAGGGTGCGGAGTCTCGCACGTCTTGCTGTTACGATTTCCGAGTGACCGATAGCATAGTATCCGCGTTATTCTCGATTTTGTCGAAAAAAAAATACTTACCACGCAGTTTGCAGAGGGCTGTACCTACTTTAGACTACAAAGGGGAAAACTTTTTCAAAGCAAGCGTGTAAAAGAGCATTGAAAAGAAGAACTACAACTTTCAACAGATTTAACATTGATAACTACGCAATTTACAGACTAATAGAGACAAACATGCGTCACACGAGATTTTTATTTATCGTGGTCGGACGATGGCGATCCGCTTTGGCAATCAAACAAACTGCTTCAAACATTACCTGAGAGGATGGAAACACACGCGCACGTCGAAACCGTTAGAATTCCATCACCACACAATACATGTCAAATGTTTATAGTGTCCGTTGTAACCATAACATCCATAGTCAGAGTTGTGTGTCTTACAAAAGCCCATTCGTCATGCCCCACATCTATCATTTACATTGAATAGCGAGGTTTATGTTCTACAATCTCAGGAATACAAATGCTAAGATGATAAATAGAGTATCAATATGAAAAATTCTTGAAAGGAAATAGGTCAAGTTGATAATCGTGGTTGAAAGTGCATGCCCCAACGAGCATCACCAATAAACGCCATACACGCGACATGCATATTGCATATTGCATATGCTTTTGATTGAACAGCTAACAAAGTCCGCTACCTAGTTGTCTAATCTATCAAATAATTGGCCGTCAGTAAGAGCCCAACCATACAGCTACTGCAAAAGTCAGCTCACTCGCTCCAAACCAGACTCTGGCCACCAAGCGTCACCAAGGCAAACACAGTCGTCGTTTTTAAACAAGTCGGTCAGATTTTCCGGCGCGCGCTCGGTTCAGCGAACGTCACTGACACAGACGGCTGGGAAACCTCCGTCACTGGTCAATGTCCCACAATGTCCAAGGTGATTGGAACGGGCGACCTCTGCCCAGTCAACAGAGATAGCAATTAAACAGCCAACTTTGGTGTCATCTAAAAAAGTGGAGACAGTAATTCCACAGCACCACTTTTTAAATTTAAAACAAACTGCACACAACAGATAAAACAGTTTTATGCAGACGAATGACAACCAAAACATACAATATCATCAAGCCAGGAAATAATAAAAATGCTAACGTGACATAAAAATGCGGCGGCTAATGCATAAGATCGCAGGTCTGCTGTCGAGTGGTTGTGGAATACGGAGGCTTCCAAAAATAGCAACGGGTTGGATTGGACACAACTGACCAAAGTGATCTTTCAGTGCACATGTCTTTAGACTCCGTGATTTTTGTTTTTGTTTTGTTGGGTTAGGCCCTTTCGGTCGACAAGACCATTGCAGAGCCGGAAGGATGATAGGATTTAGGGGGAGACATTGGTCTGGGCAGGCACCCTAGTGAGTCGCCGGGGCTGAGCCCGTCCAGAGGACAGGCCACCCAGCCCCAAGGCACTCACTGCACCCGGCTACGGGGTGCGCTCCCTCAGGAGCAGCGGTGCCGCTCCAAGGGAGCAGCCCGCATGAGATAAAGTTGCCTGTCCAGCCCGGAGTGGGGTTGTGGCGTGGAGGAGAAGGATTTCAGTATCCTGAGGATAGAAGCACGGATAGGTGGACTCCGTGATTGAAACATCGAGATTGAAAATCAGCATCCTGAGCGGACTGCGTAGCTATATGAAGCTCCTGGGACAACGAGCTTCATATGCTACCTGGCGCGAGAAGGCCGCATAGGACTCGGCAGGACCGTGCCGCCATCTATCGCGGTACACCAAAGTTCGGTCCAATTCATGCCGGTGAATCGGGCGCAGGCGAAGTGATCAGGGTGGGTCCGTGGTGCTGCGTAAAAGCTCTGCTTAGCGGACACCCGGGCCTGTAAGCGACTATTTACCCCGTATCTATTTCAAAGAAATGCTAGCATACTTTTTCGGACTAGACATATGCAATGACTCGCTGTAAATAACATGTAATCATCCGATTTTGTCACACCAAAATACGATCGAGTCGATCGCTCAGAATGATCGGTTACAAAAGGAGCAATTATCTCCCCAGCCTTACTGTACTAGCGAGATTAGTTTATCAGCAAAATTTTATATGCAAATTAGCCCGTGGCAGGGTGACAGGCCTAAATCAGCTGTGCTCTGAATGATGCCCGTTGAATGGTGGTACTCGTGAGCGTGACCCGTGAGTGACGCCAATACTGGTTTGTACGAGATACATTTAGACACGCCCCGATGGTCTGTCTCGGCGGGGCGCCGCACTGCCCTCCCCCGGCCCCACTCCGGACTGCCCACCCGGCCCCACTCCGGACTGACCTGCCCCGGCCCCACTCCGGACTGACCTACCCCGGCTCCCCTCCGGACTGACCTGTCCCGGCCAATGTTGGCATAGTCGTTTTTGATCCTGGTCCCGGAGGATAAAATCATTCCGGAGAACCAGCCAGCTTTTACAACAACCAACAGTAAAATCATATGTTTGGCCAACGAAATGTGAAAGCTGATTAATTGTGTTACTCTCAATGCTATTTCTGCATATTCTAGGTGTAATAATAGCAGTTTTTATCACAAAGCCTGGAAAATTCACAGACGTCCGTCTGTAAATTTTACCTTACTTGTAGAAAATTTCAGGTGCCGGAGTAAAAAATTGTAGAGGAGAAAAAATCTTTTGGACCCCACTGGGACCAACAAAGGGCCTTATTTCCAACATTGGTCCCGGCCCCACTCCGGACTGCCCACCCGGCCCCACTCCGGACTGACCTGCCCCGGCCCCACTCCGGACTGACCTGCCCCGGCCCCACTCCGGACTGCCCACCCGGCCCCACTCCGGACTGACCTGCCCCGGCCCCACTCCGGACTGACATGCCACGGCTCCCACTCCGGACTGCCCACCCGGCCCCACTCCGGACTGACCTGCCCCGGCCCCACTCCGGACTGACCTGCCCCGGCCCCACTCCGGACTGCCCACCCGGCCCCACTCCGGACTGACCTGCCCCGGCCCCACTCCGGACTGACATGCCACGGCTCCCACTCCGGACTGCCCACCCGGCCCCACTCCGGACTGACCTGCCCCGGCTCCCCTCCGGACTGCCCACCCAGCCCCACTCCGGACTGCCCACCCAGCCCCACTCCGGACTGCCCACCCGGCCCCGCTCTGGACTGACCCGCCACGGCTCCCACTCCGGACTGACCTGCCCCGGCTCCGCTGCGTTTGCTGATGATGCTCGACTCCTGGCCCTCGAACTTCCTCAGTTCTGAGCGCTGCTCGGCGGCCGCCAGCTCCTCCAGCTCCAGCTGACAGACGGCAGAGCGGTTACAGCAGGTCGAGTCAGAGTTCGGGTCACAGGAGTCTGATCACAGCAGATCGGGTCAGGACAGATCGGGTCAGGGCAGGTCGGGAGAATCATTTTACACCCACCTCCAATCTTGAAGAGCTATCCCTCCCCAAGTTTCCCAAGAAAAACATCTGAGTGGATGGTCGCCTTACACCCTATAACACTACACCACTAAATACCAATCACCATCGTGTATGAAGTAGATAGATAGATAGATAGATAGATAAGCTTTATTTCAGACTCTGGGTCCATACTCTTAAATACTGATGATTTCAGTCAGTGCAGTGGCAAGACAACCAAATGTCACACAAACAATCATTCGGGCCTGTTTCAGCACTCGCGCAGAGCTATGTGCTAAAATGAACGTACAGTTGCTGTTGCCAGTGGCGCCTCAGGCGAGAACGGTATTTTACAATACTGCTACAATGAAGATACAATGAAGTAATGAAGTAATACCAGTATAGCGCCTTTTGGGGCGACTAACGGAGCGAGCGAGGGGGTGAGTCTTGCACGGGCGAAATTTCGAGGGGTACCTCCAACTGACTTGTGCACGGCACCCTACTGACCGGTCTCTAGCGATGTGCCAAATTTGAGCACAATCGGCCCAGCCGTTCTCGAGATCTGGAAGCGGCACCCTGCACGTGCGCACGTGCAAAATGGGCCCCAACTGACTTGTGCACGGCACCCTACTAACTGGTCCCTAACCGTGTACCAAATTTGAGCGGCATCGGTCCAGCCGTTCTCGAGATCTGGAAACGACCCCTGCACGTGCGCACGTGCAGCAGCACCCCAACTCTGGCACATGGATATGCAGTGCCTAGTGGGTGCCTACCTACATGCCAACTTTGAGCGCAATCGGCCAAGTAGTTACCGAGATATTGCAACAATTGCAAAACTGACACCTCTTCGTTTTGCACGTGGCACGTGCATAAGGGGTCACCCACATGCATCGAGGATAGTCTAATACTTGGTAGAAGGAATGAAGCTACCCTACAAAAATTACCGCATGTAAATCGGTCAAGTGGTTGCTGAGATATAAGCCTCGCAAAAGCGTCCGCACGGCCGGCCGGCCGGCCGGCCGGCCGCTCATACTCAGAAATTTCCGTTATTCTACGTAAGACTCCGCTCGCTTCGCTCGCTCCGTAACAATGAAGTAATGAAGTAATACAATGAAGTAATGAATGAATACAATGAAGTAATACTGCTGATACTTTTTCCTTTTTTTTGCCTTATCTGACCGGCAATTTTTCACTCTCATCGTCCTTTTTTGGTGAGGATTACCCTCCCTGGCAAGCAAGCCACAACATAATTTTGGGACACTAGGGCGGGGTCATGGTAGGTAGATCAGACACGAGAGATCGAGTAACGGTAGGCCCGTCACGGCACGTCAGGTCACGGCAGTTTGGTCACGACAGGTCGGGTCACGGTAAGTCGGGTAACGGCAGATAATATTGCATTTAATCAATAGTTGGCCTAACGGCACTACACCCAAGGCCTAGCTACCTGGCTATAAATCGTACGGAGATATCAGATAATAGGTAGAATTAGGTGACACACTGTAAACGGACTCTTGATTTCTTACCTCCTCTTGTTTCTTTTCTTTTTCATACTGTTTCATTTTGCGACTGATTTCATTCTTCTTGGAGATAATATACTCCAAAATGGCCTCTTTGTCAAACAACCAGCCATCAGGTCTAGAGAAAGAGAGAGAAAATGAAGTATCGGAATTAACAGACAATATATTCCCACTATTGGAAAAATAAAAACAGCACGGAATAGCAGCTTCATCAATACACAATAAGAAAGCGAAAATACCATTCAAGCAACAAGAACACCTGATGACAACACGAATAAACCACCCGCGCCCGGATCACCGGTGATAATTTTAATTGAAAGTTAAACTTATCCCAGGTAGATGGTGACACGGTACTCCCCGGTATAGCGAGGCCCTCCCCCACGCAGATGGCTGAATATTAACTTAGAAACGAGGGCCAAACGACATGGAGCTCCCAGGCCGCAAACTCGCTGCCACAAAGTTATAACATACAAGACCTCATTCATTAGGCTACAAAGAAGACCGCAGTTCACATCATCTCCAAAAATATAAGAAGCATGTCTAATCATTTACAGCCCTCTGGCATGCCCCGCCCCCTTGGCTGAGCTTCACCCCTTGCCTTACGTGATGACGGGGTTGCGACACGGCTGCAGAGTCAGGCAACAGCAGTCAAACTCCTTCACAGAGTCCTTGCTGGTGCGGATCTTGTCGGTGCCGTAGCCCGACTGGCGGGCATCCTTTTGGCGCTCGGCGTAGGTGTACACCATGCCGGCCGTGCAGTTCTTTCCGTGACGCGTCATGGCGACTGGAGGAGGGGTGCTCGCGGTCTGAAATCAACTACAGTGGGGCAGAGAGGTGACAGCTAAGTTAAAAAAGCTGTTGCATGGGCGTTTTGCATAAGTTAGCAGCATAGCACTCTTGGTCAGAAAGTGACTCATCACCAGAACAAATTTCACTTGATTCCTATAATAATGACATAATTTGATAGGAATTAGGAAACCTTCTAGTAGTGCGACATGGGCCCTGTTCAGTCGCTGTTTATATATCAGCGTGCTGTCAGTTTTCCCCATATAATGAAGTTATTGCTGGCGTGGCTTAGCCTCTCATTGGTCTAACGAATAGACCACTTGAATTCGACGTCAGCATCTGTGACCACTGACCGGTGATGTTGATGTGGGTCAGAAAGCATTGTGAACGAAACAGGTTACAGATTATTGGACAGATGCTACGCCTTATCCACAAAACACATATGACACAGCACCATTCAATTATTCAAACATCTGATACCAAAATGCAAATCTTATTCTCCATTCCAATTTCCAGCCCATGATGCAAATCAAATTTTCCACTCAGCAGTCACCAATAAGCATGCTACCTTATGAAGCAATGAAGCACGGGATGTATTACTCCCACTAGGTACCCTGACAGAACTAAAAACATTACCTACTTTCCACAAACAACAATTTTTATTCAGTCATAAATTAAAAATATTTCTTCCTGTATATTCCAGCCAAGGCCCTATATACCTATTCCAGCGCTACACCATGGATGAAGTCAAGGATGAAGTATTCCTGGATAGGACACTCCCTATTCCCCAACACTAGCGCCGGCGACCAAGCGGCCGCTCTGGTGGCGGAGCTCCGAAACATCGGCGGCGAGTGCGCCGGCGGCCGCCGCACCGGCTTGCGTGCTAAAAACGCGGTAATGGAGGGCGAAATTAGCGAACTTTAGCTCATAAGACACAATTTCAGACACTTTAAACATAATTTCTAGTCCTTTCTTATCATTATTATGGCTCCATTTAGTCACTATCACATACGGAATCATTACCTGATGCCCATAAACTGAGCCGGTATTCTTGACTTGCCGATGCAATTTATCATCAAATATCATCGTTCCTCGGCAGTCGAACAAGTTCCTATTGATGATTCAATACAAATATTAACTTATTTTCATGTTATCGCATAAAACTTAACTTTATTCCAACATTGGCTCTTCGGCTGTAATCACGAACCCTCACTTGTCAGCAGAATTTAAGCAACTTCTTAAATCAAAACTGGGAAAAGAATATTTCCATGACATTCCTCAATACCTGTTCTACCTGGTTCACAATTTTTTTTATCAAAATCGGTTATAGGTAAGTAATAAACGACAAAAGTATACAAAAAGGCACGCTCCGCCCATAGCCCGCAATGCTAAAATGACGCCAGCGCCCTCGCCGTCGGGAAATCCGCCGCCGCCGCCGGGTGGTCGGAAAATCGGCGGAGTGTCCGATCCAGGAATACCTAATCCATGGCTACACACCGCCGAAAGTTTATTTGGCGCAGAAAAGCCAATAAGTCTCAAGGTCATTTATGTTGATACCACGTCTGTCAAATTGACGACAGTCAGAAATTCATGATGGCTATCAAGTGACAATAAAAACCGGAACTTGAAGTAGGTAAGACTAGTAACCTCAAACAAATCTACATCAAAATGCTGGCTGGGTTGCTATCGAATTTCAATCGTTAGGCCATAGGTTTCGAAGTTGCAAATCAAAATAAAGAATACAGATCACGTGTCCACGCGTTGTGTAATATTAGGTATAACAAACGACAGAAGAGAACAAAGAAAAAAAAAAAACGGAGACCGAACTGATGTCATACTCGACAAGATCCGTCCTCGTTTAGAGCACAGCTATATTGCACTGCTCAAATCATTGGGCACGTCATGCTCTCCCCGGCTGCCGAATGACGCCATTGGCACAAAGATCGAGTACAGTTCGTAGCTTCCGACCGAGTCAGACTCTACATCTAACGGGAATATTATTATGGAGGCATCCCGCATCGAAAGAAAAGTTCTGCATCTCATTCGCCTGTCAGGTATCATACCAACACGTAACACACCATGAACATGTCACTCGTCCAAATGCCTGAGCAACAACACCAGCTGCACCGGGCTTTACCCAAGCGCCTAAAATAGCGCCGGGTACATCGGCACAGGCTGCACAATACACGGACTACACTGATCACGCGTGACTAGCGTTCGTCACCGGTCCACCAGTGACGTCACGGTCCACTGCGGCCGAGCTCCAGTGACGTCACCGCCGCATGCTGCGGAACATCTTGGTCAGTTTTCGGGCGCTGTAGCGGACCGACTTGATCAGCCCGGCGGTGAAGATGCCCTTGATGCTCTGAGAGATGTTCCTCATGCGAGTGATGTCGCCCAGACCTGAAAAAGGGATCGTATTGGGTGATGCCTCGGGCAGAGATGGGAAGTGTAGGCGATCATTGAGATCGACCACAAAATGGAAAACCCCTTAACATAATTTAAATGCCTAATTAAGAATAAGCATAAGTAACACAGGTGATAGAAAATCAAGCTTTCAGAGAAGGAAGTTGCAATATTGGAGAAAGTTACGGTAACAGGCCAAATCACTGTTACCAAATGCCCTTGCTCCTATCGACTCCACGACACGCGTCATCTACATAAACAGCCAGCAGACACCCCGTCGCCCTACCCCCGCTGTGTCAGCAGAGCCGACTTAGCACGCACCTCCTACGATGACGCCGTTGGAGTAGATGTCGCAGGCGGCTGCCCGCAGCACGTCCTCCACGTCCCGGTGGCGGCCGTCGCGGTTCCAGCGGCGCGTAACACATGTCTGCTGGGCGGCAGGTGAATGGTGGGGTGTGAGGGGAGGAGGCAGCCATTAGGCGACATGGCTACAGCTGTCCACAATCTTATCCTAATGGCAAGCAAAAAAAAGGCATATCTCAGAGCGGAAATTGGCGATCGTGACCGACCACATCTCCACTGTTTCGCAACATATGTACATCGTACATCGTAGACTTCATAACACAAACGTAGCCCATATCATTGCACCTACGAGTCCTTTCGCGCCCATCACTCCCCATTTTTCCCTTCAGTGCCCCTCCTCCCTTCCGTATCCCTCACCTGCAGTTCGCGCGGCAGCATCGAGAGGTGGTAGAAGCGCGCCGCTGGGGACACGTCCTGCCGTCCCGAGCCGTTCGTCACCTCCATAAACTCGGAGAGCGACTCGCGCGCCGGCGCGTACAGCTCCGAGAACTCCTGCAGCTGGCCGTCCACGATGTTGGAGACCTTGTTCTTGTCCTCGCCCACCCACATTCGGAAGTCGCCTGCAGCGGCCGGGGAGAGAGAAATGTGTGAAAAGAATAGTATCATTATCAATTATCACCATATTGAATCGTGTTTTGCCACCCGGACTAGAAATACACACTGCACCTAACGGTGTCAGAACAGAATAATCCCTAGACATAATAAACTCGATATTCAGAACTTCGCGAAGTGACTATTTGCATGTTAACCAGCCACCAACGTTCAACGCGCAATCTTTGCGTCCACCTTGCAAAAAGTAGGTAGCAATTAGGTGTAATATCTATTTGTGTGTAGGCATTCCAAGGATATAATAATGTACGATCCGCTCGGTTACCAATGTGGGAGAGCGCCATGATCCGTTTACGCAGCTCGTTTACCTATATAGGAGAGCGCAGCGATCTTGGTGTAGAGCTCGGTTACCCACCTATGTAGGAGAGCGCGGCGATCTTGGTGTAGACTCGGTTACCCACCTATGTAGGAGAGTGAGGCGATCTTGGTGTAGAGCTCGGTTACCCACCTATGTAGGAGAGCGCGGCGATCTTGGCGTAGACTCGGTTACCCACCTATGTAGGAGAGTGAGGCGATCTTGGTGTAGAGCTCCCGCTCGCTGAAGTGGCTGGGCAGCAGTAGCAGCGCCGTGTGTAGAGCTGACTGCAGGTTCAGCCGTAACGCCGTAGACAGGTCGTCGGCTGCGGGAGACGGAGGCAGGTGGTGAGGTGGGAAGGTGTGTCGCAGAGACGGGTGGAATGGAAGCCGCTCGCCAGGTGGAATGTAGTTTTGAACGCTATGAGATGGATTAAACCAATGCAATTTGGAACTATATAAAAAGTGTAAAAAAACGGGGTCTTTGCATGATTATCGAAACAAAAGCGTACTGACGACTATTATCAGTTCACCAAGCGTTTTACTAACCGCCCTAGCTGATCAGAACGGTACCAGACACACTACCACACGAAAACTACAAACTACACGAAAACCACACCAAACCACACAAAAACACACGAACAAACCACACGAAAACTACATGCTTGAATAAGGCTGGTCACGTAAAGAAAGCCGCGATTCATTGCCATCACCACCATTAGATGAAAAAGGTTGAACAGCACTAACGTCACCACAGTAGTAGTCCAACACCCCGGGACTCACAGGCGGGCGGCCGGAGGATGCGGCACGGCTTATGCAGCCGCCCGGCCACGTACAGTGTGTCCCAGTCGAGCAGGTCCGACAGCAGAGCCGCTGTCGAGATTACGCCGTACTTGATGGTCTGAAACGCGGCACAGGCAGAGGAAGAGACTGGTTAGACTCGGAGGCCGCTGTGTGGAAGTCTTGGCCTCGCTTACAATTGTACCCAAGAACAGTAACACTCAAAATGGAACAACGGACAGCTTCCGAGTTGCAAAACTGTTATTGCTGCTTGTTCATATTCGTAAAGTTACGTTTAAAATCAAACTATCAAACACCACACAACACACAACGTTGATCACCATTGAATGAATAGAATGAATTACCAGAGCTTTACCCCATTCTCGACTGGCACCAGGGTATTGAAGTACACTTTGGCGCCGTAGTCCTTCTGCCAGGAGGAGACGGTGCCGCTGCCCAGGTACTTCAGGAACGAGTAGTGGCGCGGGTTCTTGGCAATGTTGGCCTCATGCCAGCCTTGTGGGTCGTCCACGGCGAATATAAAGTCCACCATCTGGCCTGACTGAAGCAGAGAAAGCATACGTACTAATCGAAAATATACCAAATATCCCAAACATGCGAAGCATGTGAAAACAGCCATCACAGAACGCAACTGAGCTAGCCATTCAAAGCATTTTAACCCTCGCCGGCCGAGGAGGAGGGCGGGTGCCATCTCCCCCCAGTTTTTTTTTTTCGCGGTAGCTCCGAACACGCCGGCGATAGAGAGCTGAAACTTGGCATACCTGACCTTTGATTCAAGCCGGATCTTTTAACACCAACCGCATTTTCGGGTGAGGTCAGGTCACTGACCTATGACATCATAAGTGAACCTCTGCACGGTCTTCAGATGTCGCAACTTCGCAAGACCCTCACTGCCAGAGGAGCTTTAACAGGGAAATGAAACTTGCAGGACCTTGTTTCCATCAGGAGCCTCACACCTTGTATATCTCGTATTTTTCCTAAAGGTCATATGAGGTCAGGTCATTTTCGTGACCTCACCATTACCTATAAGTCAATGGGGAAAATGAAAACTGCTATTCTGGCGCCGGGAACGACCTCCAACTATCCCAAGGACACGGCGTGATTTTATTAATTCCTTGCAAGGTTCGATGCGTCACTTTTGCAATGTTGACCTTGTATGACGTCATTTCTGACGTCATTAGGGTCATATTAGATTTTCGTCAATAACTCCCGATTAAAATGAGCCAGCGAGTCGGGAAAGCCACCAATGGACTCGGGAAGACCTGCCGAATCGAATGATATGCGACATGACCTCATTCGACCAATTTCGTGACCTGAGGGCGCTGAGCTGACCGTGACCCTAGGTCAACACCCAAGTTGACCTCACCCAAACAAAAAGTATATCATTCCACGCGCCTAAGCGAAACGAACACAATGCTGCCAAAATCGCGGCTCTGCGGCCGTTTTTTTGCGAAGTTATTCATCAAAAACGGAACCGTACCTTAGGGTACTTGCCCTGACCACAGAGATCACCGGTTGACCTAGAACCTTTTACCTTAAAATCGGGTACCTAGCAATCTCTGCGTCTCGTAACGGCGCACACGCTCGTTTTTTTTTTTCCACGACGCGCTAGCTCCACCAGGCCGGGCGAAACGGCGAGGGGGTCGTACCCCCCTCCGCCGGCGCGTATGTAGAGCCCAATAGGTCCGGCGAAGGTTAAATGTGGCAAGAAATTCCAACTGATAATCCTGATATAATAACCTAAAGAAACATTACCTTGGCGTTATTTTTCTGTGAGAAGACGCCTGATCCATAGGCGAATGCAAGAGACATTGATCCAGGGAACAATGTCAAACAATGCTGCAAGAAATCATGATTAATAATCTTCGCGTTTCTTACGATAGACATAATGCATTGATTGGTAAATCCTGAAACAAAAGGTGTCATGTTAGAAGTTCGCTGGGATCTATTTAGTTTTCAGTATAGCTTTTTGACACTGATAGGAGTGTCCAAGTCATTGAAAAAACTGCTCCAAACAACCCTTAAGGTATGGTCTGCACGAGCACTTCGGTGGAGCTTAGTGAGTTGACGTCCCCCTGGCAATGAAGTCCCGGAAGGTTTCTAGTGGGAGACTGTTCTTGCCGATGTACGGTTCTCCAGGGTATTAGTCGTTGGTCGCTCGGCGAGCGGGAGGGCAACCAGTTCCGCCCCTGTATCGCGTGACCCCTTGCTCCGCCCAGTTACGCACGAGCGTACTCCACGCCGCGTAGTAGCGTGGGGAGGGGAGGGTTAGAATGGTGGCATGTGTAGAGGCTAGAACCGGTTTCCACCGCCATGCCACCGCCCAGCGACATGGAGCGGGGTCAGTGACCAGGGCGCAGGGAAAGGTCAGAGGTCAGCTTTAACGTAGAGCTTTGTGTCTCCCTCCCCTCCGTGTGTAACGACCGCACGACAGCGGCCGGCCGCCGATCAGGCTTGACATGTCAAGGTCACCCGCAGTCAACGGGCTCAGAGGGTTGGTCGAGTGCGAGGCCGTGGCTGACGACAGTCTCGACCATGTGCTATGGTGCCGATACACTAGCGTGGGTAATAAGTTTGTGTTCAGTGCATATGACTGCTGGGGCGTGTCCTCTTGATATGATGCTTTGTGACGTGTATGATACGCTTAAAACCTCGCTGGCAGTGGCCGAGAGGAGAGGGGGGAGGCGGTTGCCGCCTCCACATGTTTATTTTTGTTGATAGCTGCGAGGGCTGAAATTTGGCAAGCCTCACCTTTGATTCAAGCTGAATTTTTATGACAGCAGCTGTATTTTCACCCTCGCCCATATTGGTGTTTTGCCAGCGTCTATCGTAAAGAGGGGGAGGAGGGTCCGTTGGACCCCTTTGCCGTTCAGCCCCTAACCGAGCTAGAGCTTCGCGGAAAAAGAGCGTGTTGCCCGTGACGAGAGGAGGCCGATGATACCCAATTTTAACCCTCGCCGGCACAGGGGGGGGGGGTTGATGCACCCCCCCTAAGGTTTTTCGCGAATAACTCGCGTAAAAAGCGGCCGATCGCAACGAAACTTTTAGTACCCTCGCATTGTTCAATTTTACACCTACCCTGAAAATTTTTTGACCCTGACCCAAATGACCTTTGACCTGTGACCTCTTTTCCGAGACCATGTTTGGCCGGAATCGCGATTCGTCGTATGTCGGCTCGCATTAGCCGCGCGGTTGCAAGCTTTTCGTGGTTTCAAACGTTCAAACATGTGATTTGATGTTGCTCCCATACATTAGGGTGGGTTTCAAGGTCAGCTGAAGGTTAGGTCAGGTCATTGACCTTTGGTGACCTCGGGTGACCTCGGTTCACTTTTTCGAGCTTTACATGCTTCTAGGCTAGTTTTTTGGAGCTGAATTCGAATTTAGCAACCATTTGAACATTTACGAAGTAGTTTTGGTGCCTTCGTAACATGTTACGAAGCTGTCAGAGGCGGTTGACACGTATTACGAATACCCGTCACAACCTCTACCGGTTGACCTGACCTGACCTGACCCGACCTGGTCTAAATGCTTAAAGACATCATTTCTGATCAAAACTAATACGATATTCGTGATCAGCACCCCGGAAAACCACATAGCAGCCACACTTTACGACTTTCTAACAGGTCCCGATTTTCCCGGTTTTTGGGTCATTGACCTGACCTGGAAGGTCACCCGATGACCTAGGACCTTAAAATTGGGTATCATCGGCTTTCTCTCGTGACGGGCAACACGCTCGTTTTTTTTTCCGCGAAGCTTTAGCTCGATCAGGGGCCAAACGCGAGGGGGGGGGGTCCGTAGCAACCCCCCCCCCCCTTGTGCCGTCGAAGAACCCAAAATGGCCTGTGCCGGCGAGGGTTAAGGTCCTAGGTCATTGGTTGACAGGTCAATATAACTCAAAAGTCGGGGAATCGGGACCTGTTAGAGCTTTGTAAAGTGAAGCTGTTATAGGGTTTTGCGGGGTGCTGATCACGAAATTCAAGTTAGTTTTGATCACAGATGATGTTTTCGTGCATTTAGGCCAGGTCGGGTCAGGTCAGGTCAGGTCACATGCTACGAGTGAACCAAAACTACTTCTTAAATGTTCAAACGGTTTCTAAATGCGAAATCAACTCCAAAATCTACCCTAGAAACATGTAGAACTCGAAAGAGTGAACAAAGGTCATCAAAGGTCAGTGACCTGACTGATCTTCACATGACCTTGATACCCACTAGAATTCATGCGATCAACATCCTTTCACATGTTTGATCGCTTAAAGCCACAAAAAGACAATAAAAAGCGTTCTACTCGAAATACGCCAAAACGCGATTCCGGCCAAACATGGTCTCGGAAAACAGGTCACAAGTCAAAGGTTTTTTGAGTCAGGGTCATGCAAATTATAGGGTAGGCGTAATATTGAATAACTCGAGGGTACTGAAAGTTTCGCCGCAATCAGCCGCTTTTTGCGCGAGTTATTTGCGAAAAACTGAGCGTAGGAGGTCTGTTCGACACCCTCCTACAAGTGCGAAGGTTAAGGTCAGGCCGTTGACCAATGGCGTCAAAAGTGAACCTCTGTAAGGCCCCAAAATGTCGCGACGTCGCAGCACCCTTCGTGCCAGGGGACTTTTCAACGGGGAATGAAGCTTATATGATCTATAGTACTATCTCCCAGAGGCCTCACAACTTGTATGCAGCTATCTCGTATTTTTCTTAAGAGTCACCTGAAGTCAGGTCGGTCACGCAACCTCACGATTATTAATCAACTGTTATTTTGGCGCCGGGAGCCATCTAAAGCTGTCTCAATCGCATGAATTCGCTATTTTATACAATTTTTGCAAGCCCCAGCATTCACTTTTCCATTCTTAAAGTTAGGCGACTTCATTTATGACGTCACTAAGGTCACAGGAGATTTCACCAAAAAGTCCCGATCAAATTGAGCTAGCGAGTCGGGAAGCCACCAGTGGACTAGATGTAAGGACCTACCGCATCGAAGAAGCGATATGACCTCCTTGAGTCAGCCTCGTGGCCTGAGTGGCTCTGCCCTGACATGACCTGAGGTAAACACCTTAAATTGACCTCAACAAAAACAAAGCGTAAACTATTCGACGCGTTTGTGCATGCAAAACTCTTGGCTCTGTAACCACTTAAGGTGAAGTTGTTTACCAAAAACCGACCCCGCGACTTGGAGCACTTATACTGACCTCAGAGTTTATCGGTGGACCTGAGACATTCAACTCGGGTACCAGTTGCTGCATCTCATACGACGCACGCGCTCAGTTGTATCCGCAAGGCGCTAGCTCAATTAGGGGCAAAAAGACGGAGAGGGGTCGTAATCGCCCCCCCCCCCCCCTCGGCCGGGGTATATGCAGAAAACCCAAAATTCCGTTGAAGGTTAAGTACTGAAGTGATATATTATGATGCGAGAAGGTATAGGTAAAAACAAGTATGCACACGAGCGGATGTGAATTAAACTGTGTTGGAGGTATGCCTTTTTTATTATACATTCGATTTGCTTTAGTTATTGGTAAGAACAGATACAACTAAGAAGAGCACCCCTGAAGAAAAGGTGGCGCACCGGACGGTGCGATTTTAAGGTCCAAGGTCAGTCGGGGACCTCTAAGTTCGGATCAAGCGCTGCATGTTAGGGTTAAAACTTAATAAAAAAAAATGGGAGCAAACAAGTATCCCGATTTTGGCAGCATTGTCATGCTTTGTCACGGCACTCATCCACTCCCTCGGCCGAAATATTAGTTCCTTTTTGTATGAGTTCTGGCATAATCCCGCACATTATGCTGCATGTTGTTTGCCATGAAAAAAGCATGTTCAGCTACGTTCTACGCAGTACGCACTAACCTAACCACCATCCCATCATCCACCACTAGCCACCATCCTGTTCTGTGATCCGTTCCACCCCACACGAATCAGCCGAGATACTAGTCAGTCGGGCTAGCGCTATCCTCCCCTCCCTTCCTGACTGCACAGCGCTAAAACCCAGAGCCGAGACTTCCCGAGCGCGACCTCTGACCCCACGCGGTCCGAAGGGTCGGCCGATGCCTAAGGGCGCGTCGCGCGCCGGCCACCCGGATAGCCTCTGCCGAGTCTCCCTTTCATACACCGTTTACTACGCGCTCGATTCATTCATGATTCTGTGTTTCCTCGTTCCTCTCGTTAGATGGCTCTACTGATGCCATAGGCGATCCCAGGAAGATTGCGGCCAGAATACCCCAAACGGCAGAAAATGAGGTTTTTGGTGAATATCTCGGAAAGTATTTGGCATACAACGATGCAATTTCACAGTCTCGTGGTAAATGTGCATACACATAATTCGGGTTGATACTTATGCATTTGAACATTATATAGGACCAGATATGTCCGAAAAAGCAAAACCAACAAGACTTTTACTGGAGAACCGTACCTACTTCACTCAATCCGAACGATGCAGCTTTGCATCAGGGATGACAGGGTATACCTATCGAGAGCTTTGTTTACCGTATGGGACCATACCTCAGCCAGCAATTTGGTTTGGCTCAGGTCCGTTTTGCCCCGGCAACTCCGACATGCCAGATTTGGGCCAGTGTAAACGGAACACCTTCCGGACCTTCGGAACAGGGGTTTGGGCCGATATGGCTCTATCCCAATTCCGGTTGGCCAGTCTTTGCCGTAGCGCTCCGGAGTTGGTAGGCATGGTTTCAGACTGCCGAGTCATGCTCAAGACCGGCTCTCTGCCACGGCGTGCTACGGCCAGGTCCGGCTGCATCGTAGCTGCTCTGGCTTACTGTGGCTGAAGCACAGTTGAGGTACGGCACGGCTAATGTGCGGGCCCGCCGGGCGAGCTCCAGGATCGTGTGTTGGCTCCAGTTAAGCTCCAGACATTGGCCGTACTTCGGCCGGTGTAATTACCGGAGCTAGCCAGAGTAAAACCAGCTACAGCCCAGACCAATTTTGCTGGCTGGGACACCACACAGACCATACTATTACTGAGTACACCATAGCCCAGTTTCCATGAGCATATGATTGCCTCCTGTATGCACTCAGCAAGTGGTCATTCTCTCCATTTTGGTTAGCAGTGCAGAGAACAGTGCTGCTAAAGCAATGCTTGATATTCTTGATTATCTGAGATTTTAGAGCGCCCAAACTTGAGGTCATCAGCGTACAGCTGTTCTTAGTAAGAACTGTTAGCAGATGTGGTCGATATTCTGGATGTAAGCCCACGGCATGTCCATGTATGGCTGCCCTATAGATAGTTGGGAACTTGGTATCAGCTCGTAATCTGGATCCAATGGGCAATGTTACTACACATGGTCATAGAGATGATGTGGAAATGCCACTGTATTTTGGTCTTTTTATTGCTAAAAAATACAGTTGTGCCATGCTAATGTCAATGATCAATTTCATTACCATTATATTTAGGTATAATATAATACTATCCAAAAACAAAACACCATCCAAAAGATTGAGATTGAACGATTTCTTTGTGACCCAAAGCCATATAAATTGATGTATTAGGCACGAGAAAAATAGAAAACTACATACCCACAACCAGCAGGCCTCTCTATGACACAAAACCCAAAGAAAAATAAAAACAACCCCATGCAGTAATTATGGCAGTAATTCATCAAAATTAATTTTGTACGTCAAAATTGCGTCAAAATGGTCAAAATAAACAACGCTCAAAAGAACAGCTACAATGAGTTTTTCGGTGCTACAAGTTTTTCTGCAGCTTATGTAATAAAAGAGCATTTTTCACCTTAATAATCAGTTAAACGCCCTTATTTTTTATTTTTTGGTGCAAAAAATCTTAAAATTGGGCAACAAAAGCTGTTGGTGCAAGACATCACGGTTAATGACGTCATTTTTATTATTATTTCATAGCTGTATTTTAGTTTTTCATTTTAAGCTATCCTTGGCACATACTCCGTGGGAAATCTTCGAAGGGCAAGGCAAGTCGGTGACGCACATCAACCACCTTGGACTTTGGAGTGGAGGGCAGGGGGTTATTGGTAGGTAATTGCTCATTTTGTTATTTTGAAAAAAAAAAATATTTCGCTTATTGTATTTGATACTTTGAAAACCATAAGTAAGAAATGAATTAGGTAAACCATTGTTTTTCCTTTTTCCATTTCTGTTCTAGCAGCAGTCGGTGTTTAATGCTTGGACTTTGATAGGAAATTCAACTATATTTTTGGATTTTGGAATGTCATCTGAGTCTCATGAAATATATAAAAGCCTGAAATCAATTGTTTGTTGCTTATTGTGCATCCTTCAGTTGATTTACCTTTGTTTTGCATCTCAATCAGAGTTTAAATGTTACGCTTTGGGCTGGTTTTTGGCAAGGCGAGATAAGGTGCCTACATTTTGACTAGTAAATGGTCCTAGTAAAAGTTAAAGTATAAGTAAAAGTTTTAGTTCTTGTGCTGGGTTTCACTGCTAGTGCTGTCTTATTTCAATTTGGGGCACAGAGTGACAGAAGCCGGGTCCACGTCAAAACAGCTAGTGACTATTGAGCTAGTGACTTTTGAGCTAGTACAAAAGAGCTAGTGCTTTAAAACAGCTAGTGACAACACAGCTAGCGCCAAAATAGCTAGTAATGCAAAATAGCTAGTGCATTAAATCAGCTAGTGACTAAACAGCTAGCGTCAATATAGCTAGTAGAGCAAAATAGCTAGTGCTTCATTATAGCTAGTCATAAGCATAGGAACCATGGGTGCAGTGGGTGCAGTTGCACCCACAATAATTCTCCAGTGGGTGCAGACAATGTATTCTGCACCCACAATAATCTGGAACAAAAACCCCTTTTCTCATCAACACTACTTCCCATGCAGCACAACAAATTCAGGATATTTTGCCCACTTTCCACCTTTAGAAGCGTTTGCTACTGTGATGGTCTTCAAAACTTACATTTGCGCTCAAGTAAAAAAGGAAGCAACGGAACACATGTGATTGAACACATACCGATGACCCACTGTCAAAAGTTTTAGCCCGATACCTATCTTCGAAAATGGCTAAGCTAGCCGCATTTAGGTACTTTTTGCGGTAGTCAATATTGACATTATCAACGCTTCTAAATACACTTATCATCGGTAGGTACATACCTTTTCGACATGGTACACCCTCAAAGCTCACAAGAGATGGCATATCGCGGGAAATACATCTTTACAGTCATAGATATCTTGCATTTTTGAAGCGAAGTGAATGGGAAGGGAACAGAGGTCCAACGAAATTGCTATTTTGACGATAGCTATTTCGTCACTAGCTGTCTTGAGGCACTAGCTCTTTATGCTTCACTAGCTACTTTGACGCTAGCTGTTTTCTCACTAGCTGTTTCTAAGCACTAGCTATTTTGCTTCACTAGCTATTTTGACGCTAGCTGTTTTGTCACTAGCTGTTTTGAGGCACTAGCTGTTTTGTACTAGTTCAAAAGTCACTAGCTCAAATGTCACTAGCTATTCTGACGTGCCTTAGAACGTACCCCAGAAGCCTTAGTCAAAGATCCAACTACCTTTTTGCCATGCAAGAAGCTTAACTCACTTCAATTTACTTTATATTGTATTGACACTGGGTAGTCCATGCGCATATATTATTTGTTTTTCAACTTAATGCTTTTCATTTCATATGGACTTGGAGACTCCATAGTCCATATGACTCCACAGTGGAGTATTGGTATGGATGGATGAGTGAAGGACAATATGGACTTCCAAATTTCAAATCTTCTTCACAGCTTGGTGCTACCTTGTTCATGGTTTTACCAAGCCTTAGCCTGACTGAATAGCTGGGTAGTGAGCTGTACACATTAGATCAGTGTATAATACTTTGTTCTGAAGATCAAAAACCAAGGAAAGGAGACATGTGTCTTGCTCACTTATCTGCAGATGATATCTGCAATAATTGAGAAGGCCACTAGTCCTATGAAGTGGTAGCCTTGTCTCTACACATTATATCTAATATGGGAAAGGGGCAGCACAATGTTTTATGCTGTACCTTACCTTGCAGTGTTTCCACCATCTACACTCTACAGTCATGGGGTCCCTAGAGGAGCCTGTTCTTCAGCTCAGCCACAGTGACCCAGATGACACCAGCTGGATGTCCTCCACAAATATTGTGAGTTTCACTCCATGGTGCTATCTCATTATCACAGCATTGGGAAGGAGCCTAGATGTGTTGTTTCTGTGAAAAGCTGTTAAGTTGTTTTAGAATATTAGAATAAAATAGGCTACCTGATTCATGTATATTTATTAGCTTGGCTTGTTCTTTTACTTGATTTCATAATTCATATTCCATGAAAATCTGTACATGCTTGAACTTCAGCCCTGTATGTCCCATCGCGCACTGTCTGTCAGCCCCTCACCGTTCCCCACCATGTAACCTGACCCCGCCCGGACGACCGTACGCCGCAGGCGGGGTACGACTTCGAGTTCGACCCGCCGCTGGAGGCCAAGTACGAGTGCCCCATCTGTCTGATGTGCCAGCGGGACTGCGTTCAGACGTCGTGCGGCCACAAGTTCTGCGGGCCCTGCATCCTGGCCTGGCTCAGGTGAGTTATAGGGTGGTCCGCCCGTGAGGCGGTGCTGGGCTGGCCCGCTGCCGCTGGTCTCGCGGCGCTGGGCGGCGCGCGGGGATAGTCCGCTGGTCCCCGAGCGCCGGTCCAGAGGCCCGGGGTCGGTTCGATTGGTATACAGGCAGCTGTGGGGGAGAGTGGGGGCTGGTAGGGTTGGTAGCGGCGGCGGCGGGTCGGGGGCGGCTGAGAGTTACGCCACCGCAGAGCTGATAAGACGGGGACTTCCTGCTGGGGAGGAGCGACAGTCTCGCTGCAGAGTGGGTAACGGATGTTGTGGGCTGCCGCTGGGGTTGAGTTTCGTCTATGTATAATGGTTCATCCGCTCGAGTTGATACGGCCGACAGTCACTTCGTACTGAGGCTGGAAACTGAGGGTCCCAGCGTTGGTCTTCTGGCAGGAGCTCCAAAAACAGTTCACTAGATCCAGCTGGGTGGTGGAGCGGACCGCTAGACATCGCCGCCGGTATGCTAATCCCGAATACCAGGAATGAGGAGGCACCGGGCGGATGGCGTTCGTGCCAATTGAATAGAGGCCAGCAGGATGCCGAGATGGAACTGCTGATAGAAAGGAAAGGCCGGATTATCATGCAGCTGGATAACATGAGCCAGCATGCTCATGTAAAACTGACGTGATATAAATTGAGCTGAACTCGCTGACATGCCCCTATGTTTGCCTATTGGTTTCTCGATTAATCTCAATATCATCTAGGACCAACAGGATAGTTGTTTGCTGCTGTGGCACGTTCGCGTGAAGCTACATAATTAATTTGCAGCGCTAAGAATGGAACTACCGAATACTGAATTATTGTGAACCGAATAGGCCTTTCCTTTCTGATAAGTCGTGCTATAGTGTGGTATCATTAACCGATGGCCATTTATGTCCTTCTGAGTTAGGACCTAACGGAGCCTTGCAACCTCACGACTCACACCGACTATGACAGTTATTCCTGTTGTTGGTGACAGGCAGCAGCGGGTTCATTTAGGAACCGGCTGCAGCCCCACCTGTACTTTATCGCACAAATCTGTCTCGCCACCACGCCATGGAGTTGGCCATGCCACCTGTGTGGTCCTACCCGGTGAATCTTTCAGTGTCGCTCCGCGTATTCTCGGCACGCCACGCCACTGTGTGTTGGTCGCATACTGCGGGAAACCCGTCCAGTGTTACTGTCGGGGTCCCGTGAGTGGCATCACATAGGGTGTTACGCAACACTTGTTTGGAGATCGGACTGGCCACAGAATCGGTGAATATCATTAACATGAACGTTGACTGCATACGAGTGCATATTACTGCGTTACTATTTCACGTGACCTTGAAGACTGCGCACTTATTCAAGGTCTTTTTTATCCGATAACACATGTCCACACGACATCGGCATTTCTCGTATTGCCATCACCCAGCCCGCTATGTGCCGAGTTTCGGTGAATTTTCTCGGCACCGTAGAGGCATAACCTCCCAGGTGAGCTGCCTCCTCCTTATGGAATGCCGCGCTCGCTGAGCCGTTATCAGATTAGGACGACCGCGTGGAGTGGCAGTGGGGGGGGGGGGGGGGCTCACGGCGAAATACGTGAGCACGAGAGCTGTTCTGGCTGGGCGGACTATGTGAGCACGGGAAAGTGGGTGGATTCCGTGGGCACGAGGGGCTGGCTGCTCAGAATACCTGAAAACGAGAGGCTTTGTGGCTGGGCGGCCGGTCATGGCAGAAGTGGAATGGCTACACGGAGGCTGAGCGAATTAGGGATAGAATCAAATCAATAACATACACGTAGAAGACTGGAGGATGACCAGTGCACATATAGTTACTGGCTATTGCTCGTTGGTTGTCGCGTTTCTGCGTTTTTTTCCCCTTTTCAGTCATGGGTTTTTGCTTTATTGTTGCCATGGCACCTAGCAAATCGTTTAACAGGCCTTCTTTTCCATAAAACTAACAATACCATTTTTGAACTCATAGAGGGTACCTGTATCCATTTTGTAGCTCTTGAACCGGTATGGAACTTCACGAGCTATGCGGTTCCAGCGCACGCTCGTGCAACTGGTTTTAACGCCATGTGCCCGTCATCTCTTCGTGAATCTGTGCCTACTCTAGCGCCGTGTTAGCTCTGCCCCCATGCGGACATGTAAAAGGATGTGGAAAATTGCCGTCGAATGAGAGAAATTGCCATCCACAATCTACAGCGACAGTTGATGTTCATTATACAAGCACCGTTCACAGGTGTCTCTTATTTACCTGTTACGCCATGGACTACTCTGTTTTTATCAGTGTGTCTCGTGCTGTGATCCGCCGACCATCACGATATCGAGGCGTGTTTGCCTCGGCATGGGCTGCATTTGTTTTACGGCCGCCGCCGCCGCCGCCGCTGCCTGGCCTTGGCGTCAGGTGTAATATCCGTGACTGTGTAACTGCCGCGACCTTCACTAATCGGCCTGGTGATGGCTGACGGGCGGCCGGCTGGGAACTGGAACCCGGCTGTGGCTACCGCCCGGCCGGCTCCGCAGGGCTGTCGTTTTTCACACGGGAGACACTTGGTCACACTTTAGAAAATCAGCGTAATGTATGTGGAGCATAGTGTTGTGGCTTATGTTTTAGGTGACACTGCGATGATCTGAGCGGGACAGCGAAGGTTACTCGTATTTATGTTGAGTCAAATGCTCATACGATATCTGTGGCGTTTTATTCGACGACGGGGCCATTATGAACGATGTCTGATTGCTCATCGTAAACGGGACAAGGGACTGGCTCCCCTTTTAACAGTCTCCGCCGACCATTTTACACCACCCGCCATCCCTCAACCCTACCCTGACCCGTCCCATGTTTCACTTGTCCGACAGACGGGAGCGCGAGCAGTGCCCTCAGGACAACCAGCCGCTGACAGAGAATGACATCTACCCGGACAACTACACGCGCCGCGAGATCCTACAGCTGCGCGTCCACTGTCCCAACAGCAAGAGCGGCTGTCCGACTCTGGTGGAGCTGGCTAACGTCGACAGACACCTGACAGAGTGCGAGTACCAGGTGAGGGAGAAAGAAAAATGAAGAATTGAGTAAGATGAGCTATGAACATAAAAGGAATGTGTTTTGCCCACGGCTCAGTTTTGTGGAAATAACGTTCTGATAAATTGTCGGCTTAAAGGTGGACGTGATGACAAAAAGGTTGCTTGCTGTGCTATCGTCAACGCAAACTTTTTAAGTCATGCTTAGCTTTTTAGCTATCTTCATCGCTCCGGGCTGTATAAGACTGTCATTGGGGTATTTATCTTTCGTATCTCGATATCTCCGCTTTGTGTCGGTATTCCACCGTTCACCCTGCTGCCCCTCTAGTCTGACCAGATGCCACGGCCAATTATGACCTGCCCCCTGTCTGTCCCCAGATCGTGCCCTGCCCGAACCGGTGCTCGATGCGCACCATGAAGAGGGAGATCGCCGACCACTGCCAGAGCAGCTGCCTGCGACGGCTGGTCAACTGCTCACTGTGCAACGAACAGTTCCAACTCAACCAGCAAAAGGTCAGTGTTATAAAACCGACCACTGTCAGTATACTACGGCTGGTCAACTGCTCACTGTGCAACGAACAGTTCCAACTGAACCAGCAAAAGGTCAGTGCTATAAAACCGACCACTGCTCACTGTGCAACGAACAGTTCCAGCTGAACCAGCAAAAGGTCAGTGCTATAAAACCGACCACTGCTCACTGTGCATTGAACAGTTCCAACTGAACCAGCAAAAGGTCGGTGTTATAAACCCGACCACTGCTCACTGTGCAATGAACAGTTCCAACTCAACCAGCAAAAGGTCAGTGTTCTTAACCTGACCACTACACTGTCGAGCAGGTGTCTGAGGCTGTGGTCAACACCCTAAGCACAGCTAATCGGTAGCATTAATAGCATAACCTCAGGCGAGCCAAATAATGTGGTTGATAGTTGTAGCCGATAACTTTCAGCCCCGCCCACTAGAGAGTGGACACACTAGAGAAATGCGCCTATTTTGGGTGCGAAGCTGGTTGAGATGGCGATGTATTCCTGCCTGCTTCTGCCCCGACCCGCCGTCTGACGCTGCTGCCCCTGCCCCCACCCCTGCCCCTGCCCCTGCCCCGCCCCTGTCCTTGCCCCTGCCTCTGTCCCTGTTCCTGTCTGACACTACCTCTTGTCTGACGCTGCTGTCTACTGTCCGCCGGCAGTCGCACCTGACCACGTGCCCTCTGGTGGCGCTGACGTGCGAGTCGTGTCAGACCGTCACCCCGCGCCAGGAGATGCAGCACCACTTGGCCGAGGAGTGCCCTCGCACGGTGGTGCCGTGCACCTTCCACGAGGTGGGCTGTAAGGAGCGTATGGTGCGCGCCGATCTGCCCATCCACCTGCAGGAGAACACCCAGAACCACATGAAGGTGAGGGGGTGGAGAGGGGAGAGGGAGGGATGGGTAAGGGATGGGCGGGGTGTACGTAAGGAAGGGTCGAATGTGTGGTAGCTGGTGGGCGATTAGTGATTATGGAGCTGCGGGAAGCGGTAGAAATGAGCGTGAAATAACTGTGTCGTTGCACCACCCTTAAATCCAAATCATGTTGGGAAACTGAAGGGATGTAGGTGAGTGGGAAAGATAGAAGCAATACAATGTACGAGTAATTCAAACGATTATCACGATGCCTAATATGCGCACACAGCTTAGACAAGCCTGTTCTGCTGTATACACCCTGTTCTGCCACAATACAACGCCCAGCTCTGACGCCCGTGCGCTGCCTCCGCCCCTCAGCTTCTGGTGGCCTCCTACAAGAACGTGTCCGGCTTCATGTCGGACCTGGGCCGGGCCGTGGGCGCCCTCACCTCCCCGCTGGCGTCTCCGAGTCTGAACCGGCAGGGCAGCTCCACCAGCTGTGCCAGCGAGATGCAGCGCCAGTGGAGCTGCAGCTCCATGCAGGAGGGCGCCTGCGCCACCGCGGCGCCGTGAGTAGACGGGCGGGGTATGCGGGCTGATTAGGTTATAGCCGGTGCCATGCAATGCGGAGAGGAGAAGAATATTTCGGCAAGATTCCTCATACATACAGTTTGTTTAATGAAAATTGACTTACACAAAATGATCATATTTTTATAGGACGGCTTCGTGATTGCTCAGTGGTAGAAGCTGAACGCGTCCTGTTTTCTTCGTGAAGAGTTATTGGTTTATTCTGTTTACTCCGTTATCTATCAGACCTTAAGCGTCCCTCTAGCCCCATGTAGCCCTGACCCCTGACTTCCTCTCCCCCAGTCACCACCGGTCTGTCTCCGTGCCCTCCGTACCGGTGGAGGGTGCCCGCGGCACTGACACTGACTGACCTGCCCTGACCCCTGACCTGTCCCCCAGCCACCACCGATCTGTCTCCGTGCCCTCGGTACCGGTGGAGGGAGCACGCGGCACCAGCGAGCTCGAACAAAGGCTGCAGATGGACTTCAGCAAGTGGGACCTCGGCAAAAAGTCCGCCTCACCAGAAAAAGTCATCAAGGTGAGCGTCAACGATTTCTTTTCGTAAGGGTCAACTAAATGGATATTGGATAGTATCCTAGTAACGTCGAAATTGCCCGTAAACGCCAGGTTAATAAATCGCTTACTTGTTACCTTAGCCAGACTAAAGGGCGTATGAAACAATGAGTCTGTCATGTAACCCGTCAACACGCAGAACAGAACCCGCCCTGCCCCGTCAGCACACCCTGCCCCATCAGCCCGCTCTAACGAGCCTCTTTGTCCCACGCTAGGACATCTGCGAGAAGCACGTCCGTCTGGAGCAGCGCTCTCGCGAGCACGCCATTCAGATTCAGAACCAGCGCACCCAGATCAAGGAGTTGAAGGAGGCACTGCGGCGCGCCACGCAGGCGCCGCACGAGATGCTCGGCAGGTACTGCAACGGCACGTTCGTCTGGCGCTTCCACAACTTTGCCGCCGAGATCCGCGAGATGACCGACAACAACGCCAAGGTGCGTGGAGGGAGCAGACGGGAAATGCGCGACCAGTGGGAGATAGGTGGCATGTGGCTTTTGTGGCATGAGTTTGTGACGGGACGAGAGTGAACTAGGGTATGATGGGGGATGCTAGATGGGACGCAATTTTTAAAAGGCAAGATTGGAAAAACAGAAAGGAAGGTAGATATGACATGGTTATAGTAGAATGGTGATTGTTGATGAGGCATATTTAGATGGTAACGATAGTAGTTATTCGCCTGTCGCTCCCGTTGTGCTTCTTTCTTGTCTATATCCTGCAGATCTATCGCCTATAATCCTTCGAGTCCTTACCGCCTCAGTAATGCCTCTTACTTAGCGCTGCCTATGGTTCAATCACCAACAGTATTGCCCGTCTCGCTACCACGTGTTACCCTGTGTCTCCTACCACCCCGCTAACGTCCCGCCACTCCCCCTCCCGTCTCAGGTGGTCCATTCGCCCAGTTTCTACACGTCTCCGTTCGGCTACAAGCTGTGTCTGCGCGCCAACCTGTACGTGCGGGACGGCGAGTGCTACCTGGCGCTCTTCATACACATGCGGCGCGGCGAGAACGACGATATCCTCGAGTGGCCCTTCTCTGGACGGTTCATCGTCTCGCTGGTGAGTGATGAAATTAAGACTCGTTTCAATTGTGAGAGCTGGGATTCATTTTGTCTCAGTGGGGACTGGCTATCTCACTGTTGAGTGGTGAGAGAATGGGTCTCATTATCTCATTGGTGAGTAGTGAGAGCGGGGTCTTTTGTGGGGTAAGAACGAGGCTCTCTACATCGAATCACTAGTGAGCACAGGGGAGGGTCGTTGGTTTGTGGTGTTGAGAGTAACAGGTTTTTAGATCTTATTATTTTTATAATTGGAGTTTATTTTAACCACTGAGTATTTTTTTTTTTTGGGGGGGGGGGGTATTGAAACGTATTGGCCTTTCAGTGGGCGGGTACAGCCGCACAGCTGTCGTGGGGTGAATCAGTGGCGGTCTCCGTAACAGTGCGGTGCCTGGGACTGACTCTTACTCACAGTACACTCAGACCCTATCGGTGGATTGCTTCCGCGTCGGCAAAATTATAATGTCGGATGTGTTCATGTGTCCCTCTCCTTTGACTTACCATTTCCTGTTGGATATGTGGCCACTACAATATGTAAGTGTGGCTGCTCCGTGGGTTTATGTTACGTGACCGTTGCGTGCTAGTTGTGCGGGCATGTGTATAGTGTGACGTGATACGATTATATGTGATGTTTCTGTGACATGTCGTCATGTCTTTTCCTCACGTCTCTCCCATAATGTGACTTCCGTGACGGGGTGACCGCTAACACCACGTATCTCCTCCGCCCTCCAGATTGACCAGTCGGACAACTCTCTGCGGCACAACTTCACCGAGGTGATGCTCACTAAACCCGGCCTGGAGGCGTTCGAGCGGCCCCGCGACGACCGCAACATCAAGGGCTGGGGATTCCAGCAGTTCATGCAGCTGAGTCGCGTGCGCAGCCACTACCTGCGTCGAGACACGGTCATCATCAAATGCGTGGTGCAGGTGGGAAACGGCTACCGCGAGGAGGCCATCCCCGCCGGCCGCTAGGCGGCGCCAGCGGCGGAGAAGGAAGGCTGACATCGACAGTTGGGCCGATAGGGGGTGCCCACACAGAGTGACAACTCTCGGCGATTGCTGAGAGGAGTGAGGCTGATGCAGGAAGCGGGTACGATGCGATAATGGTGGTCCCGATGTGATTGAAGGCAACCGAACATTCCAGTGGCTTATGTGTTCCGTCCGTGCGACTGATTGTTGTGAGTGATAGAGACGTGTAGTGTTGAGTTAGGACGAGTTGTCGGCCGGCTGACGGTGCTATACAGCACCCGGTTAGATTAGTGAGTGGTAACTAGAGACTGTGATGGGCGCGACACGTGCCGCTCAAGCGTGAGAGAGCTCGCGCGAGGTGAGAGTGCTCGAGACATGGAGCCAGTTGACTGGCTAGTACTCCCAGCTGACTGCAAGTTGTTGAAACCGTCAGAGTTGTGCTGCTTTCCTGAAGTTGAGACTTCTGCTGCTGTTGAGAAGATGCTAGAGTATATTGCGCGCGGTTTGTGATTCTGATCAAATGATCGAAGATTGCCGATCAAAGAATGTTCCATGCGCTCGAACGAATTGGAACCGAGAGTGACGTGTATTTTCTGGATGTCTTTGAAGGTTTCTTGCCGGACGATATGAAGGCGTCTATATTTGATCAATTTTCTGCCGTCTGCCGGCGACGTGTGGTGCTTGTCTTGGGGCCGGCGGCCGGAGCCGCCCGCTGTTGTCGCTGTCTTGGATCATGTGCCGTCCGACGGTGCCTTTGGCCGCTGCTGCCCGGGGTTGGCCGCCCGCCGCTCCGGGCAGGCGCTGTGATTGTTGTCTGTCCGCGTGTCCGTCTGTCTAGTCCAGTCTGGTGTGTGTAGGATGTCGCCTTTCATCGCTGTAGACCGCTGGTGGTGACCATTTTTCGACCAGCTTCGCCGTTGTCCGGCAGCCTGAACAAGCGCCTTACCCCAGCGAGGTGTGTTCTGTGCTTCTCAGCGGGTCACTGGCATAGTTTGAGGCCAGCCCACAGTGATTCCTGTCCTCTAACGCCTGTGTGGCTCGAACAACGGTGTCTCTGACTGTCCGGTCCCCTGGGCGCCCCGCACGAGGCCTTGGCGGCACCCACCGTGGCAAACATGTTTGGAAAAGTCCGCCGGACTCAGCGCCTGACGCGTGTCAGCGCATCGCCGGCGCATGTTGCACGTTTGATGGAATCTATTTTAATGGATTGTTGTTGTGTGCTCACCGGTACGTCGTGTCGGCGGCCGCGGCGGCTGTCGCCCGTTCTTTGGTCGCTCACTGAGTGCTCGTGTGCCCGCACCTGCCTGATGGGAGAGGGAGGGAGGGCCAGGCCGACCGGCTCCGCCAGAGATGGTCTAGGACTGCGGGGTAGCCCTGCACTGTCAGTGGACAACAGGCGGTGAGCTGTGGAACTCTCCGAGATAGCGTCTGTCCACATACGGATTTGCGACTCCTACATTCCAGCAGAACCGTCCGAACTCGAGGCACATCGGCCCGCGAACCCGGCATAATCGTCACTGCTTTACCTGCGTTGTGATTCCATACAAGTATGGTTGTGGACAGTTCTGTTGAGCGCTCTTGTGTTCTATTGGATGTTCCGATAGGTATTGGAAGCCTTTTGCCTACATACTGTTGTCTGTGTTTTGATAGTTTTATGGTCCGTGTATTTTTTGTCGCTGATTATGTACCTAACCAATAAGCATTCCGCATTTGTAACACGAGGCCGTCGCGGCGAATCCGTCATTGCGGTGTGTATTTTTTTGTACATAGCCTCTCAGTGCTGGCGGCTGAGGCCGGGCCGGGCGCGGCTCTCAGTCGAACTGGCGGGCTATGCCTCAGCGGGGCATGGGAATCTCCATTCGCGTCAGGCGTGTGTCCAGTGTCCCACAAATAAACACAAACACACAACAGGCGTGTTTTGTCGGTAGCATCCGCCGGGCTAACGGGAGCAGCGCCTTTCTGCGTGACGCTAATGCTGTGACTCACAGCGATACTGCAAAGAAGCTTATCTGTTCTACCGCTAAGTGGACTTCCTGATCACGAGATTGTCTCTGAAGGACGCATTAGGAATAAGGTGGTGACTGGTGGATCCCATTGTTTATCTTCCTCGTCCCTACTGAGTGTTTACCCGTGAATTGTCAGTCTGCGGTCTGCGGTCGATTTCATCTCACTCTTTGCCCGAGTTATCCATTAACGGTCTGTTTCTCAGCCTCCACGGCGGGTGTTGTCGGCTTTACTGGTATTTGTGGCTGTCGGCCGGCCGGGAAGGGCCTGCACTCTGTCAATTATGGTCTGTATTCACCGACAGACATGATCAGCTGCATTGCCTGCAACACAGACGTCACACTTTTTACCCGAAAGTCTTGGTTCGCGTGCAACCTTGATCTGCAGCGGCGTCGATCAGTGAAGACGGGGCCTCAAGTGACAGCCTGAGGGCATGACTGGGCCGCCGGAGGAACTACGATATACAGTGGACGGATGCGGAGTAGCGTGTCAAACAGCAGTTGATTGGAACGGACGGGAAAGGACGATCGGGTGGAAACGGAAAAAGCAGTGAAATCGAACCGGAAACGGCGGGACGCGCGGAGAAAAGGGTGCTTACGAACAACAAAACACCCAAATATATATTCGTGATGTTTGGTGTCGAGCAGCACGATGCAAAAGTGCAAATGACGTACCGATGGCCTATTACGACTATCGAATGTGTCTGTTTCTTGAATATGTATATCTACCTTTAGAGAAAGAGTAATCTATATAGTTTAGATATTGTACTTTTAAGTGATAAAATCAGCAATTCCAAATCCAAGGCAAGGACTGTTTGAAAACGCGAAAGTAAATGTTGCTGCCACTTCGTCCTATTTTTACTTTTCTCTCGCCGAGCTGACTTTGCAAATCAAAACAGCGCCAGCGTTGTTACCAGGAGGAACTATCAGATTTCCGCGGATCTCTTTCCGTGTTCACATCAAACGATTTGGCTGCGTTCCGAGCCGGTGGGGCCGCCGCGCCCGCAGCTGGCCTGACCGGCCCCGTGCCGAACCCTCGTCGGCGCCGCTCTCCGACGGCAGAGAGAGCCGCCCGAGCACCCTCTCCCCGTCGAATCAATCGTCGGCGCGCCGGCCTGCGTCGGTCTCGACGCGCGCGTGCGCCGCCGGCGACGCGAGAGCGACGGTCGCGGCGCGGCGGAGTCTGTTGTCTCCTGTCGCCCGGGACTGCCGCAGGCGAGAGCTGACCTCGCGCGCTGACCTGCCCGGAGGCACACGACCCGCGCGTGACCTCTGTGACCTCTACGGAGCGACCCGGCGGCGGCAGAGGGGCGGAGACTCAGCTGGCGACCATGTCCATCCAAATGCAGCTCGGAGAGGACCACGAGGGTGAGTAGTCGGATGTCTCCATGGAAACGGGGTGACTGTGCTCGAATGGTGGGCGGGGGGAGGGGGAGGGGGGACTCGTTGGTGGGCGGTGTGTCGTGTTGGCATTTGAGGTGGTGGGTGGTTAATGCTTTGACATATTTGCTGAATCCATTCATGTTTCGGTAGTATGTGTTAGTCCTGTTGAGGTCATCCAATGAAAATTATCTGGCGATATCCAGTGCAACGGTTTCCTCTAACCAGTATCCAGTGACCATTGTTCAGTCCTCTCCATTCTGAATTGACCCGACCGTTTTAACGTGACCCATCGCACAAGGGGTCTAGTGATAGACCCCCTCTGTGTTCACGAATAACTCGCGTAAAAAGCATCAGATCGCAACAAAGCCTTCAGTGTTTTCGTGGCAATTACCTACTTTTACACCTTCACATAAACGCTCATACCCCTGATGACCCAAATGAGTTTTGACCTATGACCTCTTTTTAGACCATGTCAAGCCAAAACGCCGATTCAGCGTATGTCAGCGCAGATTATCCGTTCGTTTTCGGACTGCTTGTGATCGAAAACGTGCCAACATTTGAAATGTTTGCTCCATGGCCGTTATTGAGGGTGTTAAGAGTCACAAAGTTCAGGTCCAGGTCATTGACTTTGATGAGCTAAGGTGATACTTTTGACTTTCAGGTACAACTTTTGTATAGTTTTTGGACCAAATTTCGAATTAAACGCCCATTCGAACGTTTAACTAGTTTTGGTAACCATGCAATGTGTTTCGAAGCTGCCAGCCGTGGCTAACATCTACCTACCTACCCAGATGCCTGACGGTTGATGGTTGTGGGCAGCCTGACGGTTGACCTGACCTGACCCGACTTCCCCCAATGCACAAATGCATAATTACTGAAGGAACGGCTGCGAGGCTCAGAATGAGGACTTTAAAATGCCCGAGGAACAAATTAGAATAAACTAAGTTCAAAAAGTTCTAGCAGTTACCAATTTTCCGACATTTGGGTCATTGACCTGACCTGGAAGGCCAGCCAATGACTTAAGACCTTAAAATTTGGCAGTAGGTACCTATAGGCTTTTGTTTCTCGTCACAAGCAATGCACTTTTTTCGCGAATGTCTAGGGCTCGATCAGAGGCCGAACGGTTGGGGGAGGTCTGATCGACCCCTTTATACGTTAGCCTAAGTGCATAAAAACCTAAATACAATCGAGGTCTATCGTTCCCGTCTCTCCTGTCTCGCTTGTGATCTAACCAACTGCCGAATTCTTCTTATACCGTATGTTTTCCGCCCGTGTTGAATTTTGGGCTCGGTCAGTAAATGCCACTAGATTACGCTAAATATTATATGTAGTGACCCTCAGTGACCGGGCCACTTGATTTTAAAAAGGTTTAAAACTAAGGTATGAGTGAACGAAGTATTTATTGATGAAGGGGAGTTTCCTATATAACCCGCGCCCCACTGGGGTCTGTGTATAACACGCCCTACTGGGGGGGGGGGGGCTATTCATAGCCCCCCTCCTAACTCCAAAACTACTGGGCCGATCGTCAAAATTCAAACGGCGTCTGATAGCCCCGGAAAAACTGTCGAGCGAAACCTAATTTCATTGACCTCGAGGTCACCGATGACGTCACAGGTCAGGTCAAAGTAAAAATTATTAGCATTTTGGCTTGTTCACATTTTGGGCTCTGGCCGCCGTCTTACAAGTCAGATCAGGCTCATTTTTGGTTTCCACACTCGTGAAGAGATGCTCTAGATACTTTGAGGGTAACAAACTTGTACTTTGATTTTCAGGTCAGGGTCAGGTCATCACAGGTCACGAAAATATTATATTATGCGTCGGTCACGTGACACATGTTTTATGGTCCATTTAGGCCATAGATTTCGAATTTGATGTCGTCTGTGTCATTCGAGGTCATTTGGAGTCGAATTTCGCTTAGGTCAGGTCACTTTCAGGTCAAAAAATGTCAAATTTTGAAGTTTACATTTTTCAACAAAAAAGGTGTCTAATGGATGCAGTTTGAGCTCAGGAACACGATGGTGCCATTTATATTGGTGTACGATGTCAAATACGTACTGAAAAATTGATTTGAAAAATTAATAATTGTGAATTTTTTGCAATAATGCGTATAACTTGGCCATTTTTGAAGATATTTAGCTAAAACTTGCTAGAGTTAGTCAACATTATGCGTTCTGTCACATATATACCGGTTTTTTCGAAAAGTCAAAAACTTTTTGAAAAAAAAAATATAAAAATATAAATTTTGAATATTATTATATAAAAAAATTTAAATTTTCAAAATTTTGAAAATCCGAGATAGCAGTTTGATAGCGCGGTCAATTCTTAGTCCTTTCATGCAAAGAAATTGGATCTAGCTTAAAAACTGAGCTCTTGGGAGCGATTGCCGTGGTTCAATGTTTTGCGTCGAAATCGGACGAACATGACGTCACTCTGACGTCATTTCCGGCTGACCTATGGTAGCTACAAAGTTCAAATTTTGACACAAGGTGTCGAATTGATGCAGCCGAAGGTCCTGAAAGTTTGGCGTCGATCCGTCAAGCGGTTTGGAAGTTATTGCAGAAAAACGGGAGGGGGGCTATAAATAGCCCCCCCCCCCAGTGGGGCGCGGGATAATTTACCAGGGAGTAGAGTTGTTGAAAGGAAGCATTCGAGCTCTAATTATTCGTAATTATTATCTCTATTAGTTACATCCCCTTCTTTTCTTCGAATTGATTTGTGGTCGTATATGCAACAGTCGTCGGGGATCGGATGAAGTTGTGTAAGTAGGACAATGAAAAAAAAATGCATAGGTAGGATGTTCAGGTGGGAGATCTTTGCCCACCGACCGCTCGGCAAACGCTCTGAACTGTTTCCATAGCTGCCGTTCGATCCGGACCACCGTTTGGCTTGGCTCGCTGCCTGAGATCTGCAGCCGAACGTCACCTTCGACAGCGAGTTAGTGTCATACAGATGGCTTTATGAGTAAACCATTATAGCCCTATCGACATGTCTCGTGAGGATTCAGGGCCGTAAATATATTTATGTTATGACTTGAAATGTGTCCACTCTCATTTCCACTCGGACCTAAAATTTTAGACGGTAAGGCCGTTAATAGCTAATAAACGAATATTTCTATCTTTTTTTTTTAAACATTCAATACCTACTGGCTGAGATGCTTCTCTCATCCAAATGTGAATGTCCTCTGCCTTCAATCGTCCCGTCCGTGGTGGAATGCCACCTAAGCTCCAGCTTGGCAGTCCAAGACCGCACCAGCAGCTCCGAGTCTCGAGCCCCTCTTCAAACATGACCCGTCTAACGAGCCTCGTGATAAACATGCCCTTGGGATCAACCCTCCCCTGTCGGTCCGACAGGTGACATGAGTCGGCCAGCCAGGCTCAGACTCACAAGCCCACACCTGTGTCCGACTGATAGTGTAAACTTGGCCCGGCGTGATGATGGGGTGTGCCGCCCGCCCCGACCCCCCCCCCCCCTCCCTGGCACGTGCCTGGTAGAGTGTGCCAGCACCGGTCGGTGGCCAGTGGTTGTTAACGCTCCCCACCCCCTCTCGGAGGTGTGTCATGACCCTCACCGCTAGTTCAGGTGACTTATGTTGTGGTTACGTCTGTGGCTTTGCGGCGTCTGAATCAGAAGACGAGTAAGTTTGCGTGTATTACAGGGATAGGCTATTTTTCAATGGCACATTGTTCTTTCACAGGATTAGTTTTGCTACATGAAATAGGGGCATAATGGCCGACAATCTTGGCATAAAATTGGATACGCTTGTTGATGAAAAGTGATAGAAAGGAAGAGTGACGAAAATTGATGAAAGAACGAAATATCATGTTTGTAAACACGTATAAATACTGCATGCATAGAAACGTGCCGTTATTATCTCAAATTTCGCACTTATGTCATCACGTGACATCACCCAGACGGTGACTACAGCACTACTAGCACACACGCCCCGCTTTTCCCACCCATCCCTGCCCTTAGTCACTGCAGTCGCTGTCCTGCTCCTCCCGCCACTCCCCGGGGCCCGCCGGTGTCCCCCTCCCCGGGGCGCTCTTACGTCGCGCTCACGCCCCTGTCCGGCCCGCGCCGAGCGTCACGCTAATTATCAGACGTGCTGACGTCCGTCCGCGTGCGTGCCCACGTGGCACGTGCTGACGTGGCACGTGCACCGACACAGCGTAATGACCCGAGACAACGAGACATTGTGGTGTCGGAGGCTTGGGTTATGTTGCCCGCTGGATGGCTGGCGGTATGCGTGAATGAATAAGTGGTTAGCATGATCACTGATCGTAATTGCAGACATTATGTCAGGAGTTGAAGCATAATGGCTGCTCAGTCCTCTTATCCGCCTTAGAAACTTCTGTTGCTTGTTCTCAAAGTCCGAAGGTCACATTCCTACTGCCAATTACTCTTGTCGCTCCGGTCTTTGAAAGAAAGGCAACTGAGGCAGCCAGTTGGTGATTCTGAGAAAATCATGTCAGGTCTTTCTCCGGATGTCGTCGGCTGCGGTCTGATCGGTCAGAGATTGGTTTCCGGTCACCGCGGGGCTATTGCCGGTGCCTCCATGGGGCTATTGCCGGTGCCTCCATGGGGCTATTGCCCGTGTCCCGTCTGCTCTACATAGGCCTCTGAACGTGCGGCGGCTGTCAGAGGCGGCAGCCGCGGACCATTTCTCGGAGGCGATCAGCCGGAAAATCAGCCCATTCAGTCTCGGAGTGGAGTCATTCTGAGCCTGATCCATCGTTAATTTAATAAAATTCAGCCGAATTTAGAACGAGAGCTATGATATGCTGTACCTTTGAAAGCCTTTTCTGAACCTCGTCTCTGTCTGGGGTTTTGGTCATCTGATATAGCATGAGTCGAGAGTGTATTGATGACCATCCAAAATTCATATCCATCCACGATGCTTTCAACTTTTGCAAGTGTAAACGCTTACGGTAAGAAGACAGAATCAGGAATCTCAAGTGAACAAATGGCTGTGAAGTCACTCAGCT